ACGGTCGAATGCCTTCTCCAGATCCACGAAACACATGTGGACTGGTTGGGCAAACTCCCATGAACCCTCCGCCACCCTGAAGAGGGTATAGAGCTGGTCCAGTGTTCCACGGCCAGGACGAAAACCGCATTGTTCCTCCTGAATCCGAGGTTCGACTATCGGTCCCAACACTGCACTGGTGATCATATTATATATTAACTGAGGCAGAAGACTGTGTGCTTTCCAGAATAAATTGAAAATATATTGTACTGTGGTTCAGAGGTGCAAAAGAACACGGAGGCTTTTTAGTTTTTCAGCACAAAAACTCAAAATGTAAAAAAGTCCTTTTATTTTCCTATTACACTGAAACAACACAGTTTTTTTAGATAAGCTAAACAAAGTTGTACAAATATCCACAGTGTGATTTGCACGTTGTAAAGTAATTGAAATGGCTCCTAACATAACAAGACAGATGCACCAGAAAGGCTGACCGCTGTTTTTTTGCACGAAAGCATATGTTTACATGATGATTTACATGATTGTGATTTGTATTTTGGGAGAAAAGGCTTTTCCACTTTACATGGCAGACACCTGGTACTTGCAGGTAACGGGGCAGTCAGTCCTAAGAGACTGAACAAGTTGTGATGCTCCGTCATTCACTGCTTCACTATATTAATCTTCTTCTTCTGATGCGGTCGATGTAGAAAAAAGCCTGTTTGAAGGCTGTTTACATTACCATATTATCACATGTATACTACAGTGGTGATACTACCCTGGTTCTGCTTCAAGCTGTCCCTAAGGTCTGAAACCTGAACTGCAGAGTTAGCATTGTTGAACCAATGGAGAATGACCATCTGTGGCTATTGATCAGTCTCTATCAACAGTACTGTCAATCTCCAAGAGTGCTTATCTCCATATTCCTTTTCTTTATCAGTTACTCTTTTCTGAATATCCTGCAGGACAAAGCTCCATTTGATGAAAACACATGCATGAGTACTGGTGGCTTTTGAACTGCATGAATATTAAATGTTCATTTCGACCTTGGCTGAGAAGAAACACTCCATCAGTCATCGTTTCCGTGTCAAAAGTCTTTGACTGACATCATGGATGGTCTAATTGGGGTGAATGAGGATGTGAGGAAACATCAGATAAGGGGCCAGCAAATAGCCTGCACACATTTTAAGGAAATGGATACCTTGGACCTCTGCTTTTGTTTGGAGGGCTGTGCAAAATGTTGACTATGTAGTTTGTATACATGTGAAACGGCATCAAAACCCTGGAAGGTGAATATTTTTTTAGTGGCATCTGCACATTCTGCAATATGCTAATGAGCAGGGCTGCAAAAGCCAGATTGCCAGGAGAGAGAGGGGGTGATGGAGAGAGAATGAAGAGGGAGGGAGCAGATTGGAAAAGAGAGAAACAGACGGAGGCTGGTGTAAATTATGGATGCAACCTGCGATTTCCAAGAGGAAAAGAACGGTGGAGAGAAACCTCCAGTCATGCATATCAGATTACACATTTACCACATTTTCTTATCATGGTCGCTGAGCAAACTCGTACACAATCTGGCCTCTGTGCGTGCATATGAGAAAAGGCAGAGAAGCACTTTCATCCATATCGAGTTGTGTGGAGTCAGTATTGTGCTGTCAGGTATTCTGTGAACTTGATATGACGTGTGTCTAAAGATGTGTTAACTTTCACTGCTCTATTGTGTTGTGTTGCTTTATATTGTGGGGCTCAGTGTGTCTGAAGTCACATAGCCCCGGATAGTTAACACTCATCTCAGCATTGTGCATGTTCCTGGACATGGTGGCAAATCTGTTATCTGTTTCAGCTACTTTATGCTACTCAGATCACACTGTGAATATTTATAGGACTGTGTTTAACTATAATTGACTAATGAGAGATGGATTGCTGAGCTCCCAGGTTTCTTTTATTAAAATTGCTTAACTCTCATTATGTTTTGCTGTTGTGCAATTCTAAGTAAAGCTCAGTAAAACTGAGTGTTCATGTCCCACTACTATACTGTACTCTTGTGTGCCAATCCCCTCACAGCCTGTGTGAATAATGGATCCATTCTTGAGTCATGTCTGTGACTGGGTCCTGTGCAGTGGTGTGGTTTCCCCACCAGAGAGGTGGGGGCAGAGGAGACAGGAGGGGCTGGTGGTCTGGAAATGGCTCTGCCTGAGCTGGGAGCACCTTAGGTGGGCCTCTGTGCCAGCCTTACCTTAACACACACGACAAAACCGCAGTTCTGCTAGAACACCTGGCTCATACAATGCACCTAATTTTCAGCTCAGCTGAATGGAAATATGGTTTAATCTGTCTCAATTCAAAGTCATGGCCTGAGTGAGAATTAGAAAAGGGCTGTGTTTTCTAAGAACTGGACAGGAGCCACGGTGCACTTAAAGTGAGAAGTGTCTGAGCCGAGAGCTGAAACTACAAAGCTGCCCCGGCTCTTGCCTGCATGTTAATGCGTGTTAATGTGCAAAGTAGGTCATTTATTTGGAGCGGGGACAGTCGTAGTGTGCTTCTCTGGAGAGATGTCAGAGCGGGAAATCGTTTCATAAGCAGACACACTGCTGGATTTGCTGAGGTGCGCTTGGGATTTAAATTACAGATATGTTGTTTCTATGTCAGGCTCAAACGCCAACATACCAGAGGGGAAGGAGGGAGGTGCTGAAGGTAAAAGTGGCTGTGGTCAATCCAGAAACAGCATCAGTAACCACAACCAGAGATGGCAACCTAAAAATCAGATTACCACACAAACAGCTAAGAGGCTTAATTCTGATCTCCCCCTCTCTCCCCCTCTATTCCCCCATGAAATCTACAATCTATAACGTCCCTTCAAATGATTTTGTATTTTACTTCCTCATATAATGGTCGCATGTATGGAATGAAACTCTTTCTACTCAGTGATCTTCGCCCTTTTGTTCTGCCTTGAGGCCTCTAGAAATTGCTTTACTAAACACAGTATCATATTAGTCTTTAAAAATATCTTCACAGGGCTACAACACGATTCTGACCTCTGATCAGATGCTGCACTGTTTGCTGTTAAGGCCTATAATAGTATAATAATGTGTTCCAGACGGCACACTTGCTGTTTGGAATTAAGCTGCGCTGAAAGATGCCCGTGGCTCTGTGACTGTCACTTAAACAGGCAGAGCAATGTTCACTAGCACAGACCTAATTAATAGAGAACATGGTCTATGGAAGGGAATAATTACACCTTGTTCCTGGCTTTCAGAGATCAAAATTGTTGCTTTATATCTTAGAATTAGTCTTAGGAATGGTTGTTGGTTTACAGGGAAATGGTGGCAGTACAGTATGTTCTCTGAAAAATAGACTCTAGATTAATTTGGTTAATCTTTCATAAAGCTTATAAAGTCAGAGGCCATTTAAAGCTTTTCAGATTATTTGTTCTCAGCCAATATTACATACCATAGTTGCACCAAGCTGCACATAAACTCTACAGCTCTCGAACACAATGCCAAGACAAGGCGCTTGCCTTGGAAAGTGCTCGTCTGTGATAGCGTTGTTTGTGCAATGGGAGCTATTCAGATGTTCTTCTTTCTGTGATCTCATTCAAAGGGGCCAGTTCACGTACGGCGCTGTAACGCTCTCCCGAGTGCTGATAACTGCTAACAGATTTGTATTAATATCCTCACTGGTACTCTTTGATATCAGCTGATTCATTTTGAGTCTCCGCTCGGCTACTCACGCACAGCACAGCTCAGCTAAACACAAAACTACAATACAGAATTGCTCTTGACAGCTTGACAAACTGACAATCCCACTCTCAATCACTCCCTCTCCTGCCCTCCCTCTTGCTATCTCTGATGGAGCCATATATTGTAACCAACAAGACAGTAATCAGCGCAAACCTAATCAAATCACTGCTCCGACAAGCAGCCCTGGCTGCTGAGCTTCCACGAAACACA